CTAAAAAATTATAAAAAAATAAATCATTATAAAACATACGGAATTTTGATATAGAATCATTAATTACGTATACAAACTTTATAAAAAACGTATCATTTCCTTATTTCGATTTCTTATAGGGAATCGTTTCTTGAATCATTAACTTCGAAGAAATTGTTGCCGAAAGCGTTTTTCTTTGAAGTTAATACTCCTGAATTATTTTTTCAAAAATAAAAAATTCAAGTCAATGAGCTGAGCTGCGCCATAAGCTGAGCCACAGCATGAGCTGGCTTGATCAGCTCGCAAGCCATTTTATAGCAGCTCAAGCCAAGCTTTCATGAGCCAGCTTGTGAGGCTCGCGAGCTGGCTCAGCTTATGCAGAGCTTTACTTATTTTAGTTTATTACATCAATGATAGCAACATTTGAAAATGTTTCAATCTTTAGATCAAAAAGATCCACAATCTTCAGTTTTATGTATTGCTAATACTCAATAGCTTTCACTTTCCAATACTATTTCAAATTTACATCAAATTATCTTTTCAATAATTGATGCGCTTGATGATAATGCAATTAATAACACATATAATAAAACATGACAACAAGCTCAAAGATTACGTGAAAATATTGATTCAGAATTTATATTAACAACAAAATTTCTTGCAGATATTTTGTTTACTTTTAGCAATTTAACAAAAATATTTCAATCTGATTATGTTGTATTATCTGATGTGCATATACAATTAAATGCAACAATTGATTCAATTACAACTGAATTTATTAGCAATCTGATGATATAGTTTATATTTTACCAACTTATGGAAATCATTTGTGAGAATATATGAAAGGTTTGCTAGGAAAATTGGGATATGAGCATTTTTTATTAAAATTTTAATTTTTATAGCTATATTAAATAGTGTAATTCTTGGTATCAAACAGGTTAATTCCTAGCCAATTCAATATCATTAGCTAGATTTGAGCCAAATTGGACGGGAGGCTTGAATTCAATAATGGATTCATATAGATAGAATTGATCCAAGAAACTTACTGGAAATTTGTTTCAAAATCTCCAAGTTGCCTTACTGCATACGTTCTATATATTCAAATCAAATTAATTAAAACTGTACTTTTATAATTATTAATACTATTTAATTAATTATCCTTTAAGATAATATAAGTTATTAATAAAGTTAATAATTTAATTTTAAATATTAAAGTATTTTTTTTATAAATTTTTTAAAAAAAAGCAAGCGTCATATTTTTTCGAGTATATAGAACTTAAAAATCAAGTATAAACATAAGGCATTAAAAAAATTAATTGCGTTTCATCTAATTTTTAGCGTTACGCAAAAATAATTGAATTTTAGGTTCTTAATGTCTTCTTTCGACGATTATCTTACTAAAAAATACGGTGCGAAGCCTACATCTACACAAGGCGAATCATCTAAGAAAAAAAAGAAAAAGAAAATAAAATCTACACCTGCGGTTGATAAAGTAGGAAGTGTAGCAATATTTGACGAAGAAGACATTACTGGACAATGGAAAAATATTAATTCGGAAGAAGAGAATGACGACGATGCTCCTGTAATCGGTAATTTATTTCATTAACTTATTTCTTTTGACACAGCAATTTATTTATTCTTTTGTCCTGTCTTTTTAGATTTTTCAGTTGCAGAAGAAATAGAAAGATCCAACAAATGGAAACCTATTGTAAATGATGTAGGAGATGAAGCTCCACAAATTGGTTAGTTGTGAAATTAAAAATTAATTGAATATGCTGTTTCTGACTAACAAATTTTTTTTTTGTTGGTAGTAAATGCTTCTAATGATCTCCTAGAAGAATATATAACTTCTGTGTCATCAACGAGTCGTAAAAGAGATAACAAGGGTAGATTTTCTGAAGTTGAGGAAGTTGAAGAACCAAAGACAAAACGTCATAAATCAGCCTCAGGTCCGGACGTAGGATTACATACTGCCGACGAAGTTCATAAAGATTTAAAACGATCTAATAAAAACGAAAGGGAAAAAATAAATTTAATAGAATCTTCTGGTCGCCATGCAACTACTATATATCGGGATAATGTAGGTATGTATACCTAAAGATTTTAAAAATATTTAAAAAAAATATTAATTGATTCAACATAATTCATTCATTCTTTACAGGTAACAAGATTGATAAAGCGGCAAAGAGAGCAGAGGAACGACGTAGAATCGAAGAGGAGGAAAGGTTGTTGAAATGGGGTAAAGAAGAAGATACTCGTAGAGAGGAGAAGTTACGAAAAAAACCTTTAGCAATGTAGGTTCCCTTCCCTTTTCTTTTTTTTTAAAAAAAATCGTTTTTCTAGATCGATATCGGTTTAAATTTTAATTTCGAATGTTATCTATTATCTAGATATAAGGATGACGAAGATTTAAATGAAGAATTGAAGGCCCAAGAAAGGTGGAATGATCCAGCCGAAATGTTTTTAACCAAGGTAAATGTTAAGTGTAATTAATTTTATTTTATTTAAGGATGATTAACATATTCCCTATATAATTTAGAAAAAAAATAAAAAGAAGTCTGGGGGCAGACCAAGATATCAAGGACCACCCGCACCAACTAATAGATTTAATATTCAACCAGGATTTAGATGGGATGGTATTGGTATGTAATTATGTAAAATGATCTGACTGAAGTGATTTAAATTAGCATTTAGTTCTTATTAAATTATCTTTGAATATATTTAGATCGATCAAACGGATTTGAAAGACAATTTTTTGAAAAACGTAACGCCAGAGAAGCACTCGCCAATGAAGCGTATAAGTGGTCTGTGGAAGATATGTAATAATTCCCGGAACCTGGTTTACTGGTTTGTAGTGCTGTTTAAAGTTATTGCAAAAACTTACACGTTCACTTCATTATGATTTGTACTGAAAACCAAATATTCAACATGAATAAATTGTTATACTCTTCAATAGTTGATTTATTGAAAATCTTTGAAAACTTCAGGAAAGGATAAATTATAATTGTACACTATAAAATATTTAAATTAATGTCCATAATAATAAAATTTATTTATTAAATTAACATGTTGTTTCTGTTTTTACATTTTTTGATCCAATCAAATTTCTACCAATTATTACATGAATATCATCACTTTGAACAATGTCTCCCATGACGGGCTTAACAACCATGTGAATAATATAAACATGCTAATTTTGTTTCTCATCAAGATGAATTTTTTTTTATCGCTTTTAAATAGTAATAAAACATTTCAATTTTTTCGAAGTCATGTAAGAGAAATGATGTGTCACTTTTTTTTTTTCATTTTACTACTTGTGTCGAGGTTCCCCAACTAAATTTAAAATAAAAACGGATTTGATTATATTCACTAAATTAAAATAACGATAAAAATTTATAATATTATACTTACTATTTTTACCACGTAACTTAATATTTAGGATACTTTCCAACTTTCCAAGTATAATGGGGTTTGGGATGCTTCGACTCATCTCATAATCATTAATCTTTTGAAAATAATTAAATATGATATTATTTGTTGCATGAAATTTTTATTACACATTGTGAAGCAGTAAAATGTGTGCATGAAAATTTAATATACACACAACTTTGTTTAAAGATACTTACAATGTTAGCTTTTTCGTTGATCTTTTGACCGAGTTCTTTTTGTGTTAAACCTTTGGCTTGCCTAGCCTGTTGAATGGCTTTACCAACTGACAAGCTAATTTTTGGTGGAGGTGCCACTTCATTTTCTCGGTCAAGTTTAGCTATCCTTTGGTGATCAGTCATAGCATGTCCTTTATTAGTACCACCAGAAGCTTGTAATAGAACAATTGAACAATTCGTAAGCTTTAATTTTGTTTTTTTTATAACAGGTACTTATACTGTACAGTACTTACTTTTGCGTTCTACACCTACAACAGCACCGGCACGACGAGCCGCGTTGATCGCTGTAGTACCTTTAGTAACTTTAGCTACAGTCGCTTTTTTACGAATAACAGTTTGTTTATCCCAATCGTTCCACTCTTCTTCCATTTTGTAAAAAAAAATTTTTAGAATGAGAAAGTTGAACAAATTATATATATATATATCTATCAGCTGACCTCTACACAATTTTAGATTGGCTTTATATGATATAGTCTCAATTATGCATTTGGCGCAGTCCGTGCGAACTATAAAGAGTATATACAGTGGTGTGCAAAAAAAATGTACTTTTTTAAAATTGCGTTAGTTCCATAAGTAATGCATCAATTAAAATGTACAATGCGTCATTTTAAAGCTAAAATTATGTATATTTTATTAAAAAAAATTAATAGGATATTCTTTCACCATTTTTTTCGATAACCTCCTTACAACGCTGTGACATTGAGTTAACAAGATTAATTAGAAGGCTATCCGGAATTTTCCCCCACTTCTCCCCCAAAAAACACTCTAATTCACCAAGGTTTTTTGGCCTACGCTGTTCCACATTCCTTTTAACAATTGCCCAAAGGTTTTCAATGGGATTTAGGTCCGGACTATTAGAGGGCCAATCCATAACCTCTGAGACTTCTTTAGCAAGAAAATCCTTAGCAATGTTACTAGTATGCTTAGGATCATTATCCTGCTATAACTGCCAATTGTCCTGTAACATACTGTACACTTCCAGAATATGTTTTTTTAATATCTCTGTGTAGAATTCTCCATTCATTATACGCCTAAAACAAAAAAGACTGGTAGTATCCTTTACACAAAAACCATCCTAAGCAAAGATTTTACTACGGTCATTTGGCATTCGATGAACTGGCCTTGCATTTTTATACCAATGCTTTATCGTATTACGGAATAATTGGAAAGCTGTTTCATCACTAAATAGGGTCATTTTCCAATCATCATCCTTGTGTTTTTGAGCCTATTCAACTCGTTTTTGTTTATGGAGTGTAGTTAACATTGATGTGTGAAGAGGAAGTGCATTTCGATATTCCAGGTCAGCCAAATGTCTTGAAACTGTTGAGCGAGAGACTTCTACTCCTATATCTTCTAATTTGGCAGCAACAAATCCAGCAGAAATTGAAGGTTCCCTTCGAATAAACTGTTCAATTGCCCAGGATGCATGTAAGGTTATTTTTTTAATATGTCCGCTACCACTTTTACGTTTAATATCTCTAATATTTTCCATTTTTTAAGGTTTCGACGAATAGTACTGATTGGAATCTTTGTTAAACTTTGTATTTCAATAGCATTTTGTACTTCTTGCTTCCAATAATGTAAAATGGTTTGTCGTTGTATTTCTTGGGTTGATGAAATCATTTTAATATTCGATAAAAAATAATTTTTATTAATGTGTGGGAAAGGTTTCGCTAAAAGATGATAGAGTGATCGTCAGGCTTTTATTTGCATATTTATTTGTATAAATCTAACCAAAATTGGGCAAGTTACGCTTGTTGATCTTTTTTCAAAAAATGTTCATTTTTTTTGCACACCACTGTATATACCATCGCGTCTTCAGTTTTATTAAGACAATTTAGTAATAACTGCTTCAGTTTACTAAGAAAACTTAGTAATAACGCTATCGCAACTTCAGTTTTACTAAGAAAACTTAGTAATAATAGCCATTGTGGCTTCAGTTTTACTAAGAAAACTTAGTAATAACGCTATCGCAGCTTCAGTTTTACTAAGAAAACTTAGTAATAATAGCCATTATAGCTTCAGTTTTACTAAGAAATCTTAGTAATAACCGCCATTACAGCTTCAGTTTTACTAAGACAATTTAGTAATAACTGCTATTGCAGCTTCAGTTTTACTAAGAAAACTTAGTAATAACTGCTATCACAGCTTTGTAACAATTTTATTAGTAAAAAAACGTTTCTGAAGCTACGGACGCGTTTTTTTACTAGGCTTCTTAGTAAAATAGCATCTCCGAAGCTGTGGAGGCATTTTACTATATTTTCTTAGTAAAATAACATCTCTGAAGCCGCAAATGCGTTTTTTACTATGTTTTTCTTAGTAAAAAGGCATTTCCGAAGCTGTGGAAACGCTTTTTACTATGGTTTTCTTAGTAAAAAGGCATTTTTGAAGCCACAGAAGCACTTTTTACTATAGTTTTCTTAGTAAAAAAGGTATTTTCAAAGCTGTTGAAATGCTTTTTGCTATGGTTTTCTTAGTAAATAAGGCATTTTCAATGCCATGAAGGCACTTTTTACCATGGTTTTCTTAGTAAAAGCCACTCCTAAAGCTTTAGAGATGACTTTACTATTGATTCAAATCAAATCAAATATTTAAATACTTGATTTGAATTTTATCGAATTGAATCAAACATTAATTTAGATTTGATCAAATAAATCTTGAATTTGATCGAATTGAATCAAATATAAATTTGAATTTGTATTTGATTTGATTTTTAAATCAAATATTCAAATATCAAATTGAATTGCGGAATCCTATACATTTAGTGGATCTGTTGGAGGAAAAAGATGATGATAGGTCGATTCAAACGGGTTTGTAATATAACTACGGGAGATAACTAGTACTTTAAAATTAGTTTTTTGTTTCTACTTTTGTATTTACTACTTATAAAAATTAAATAAAGTTATTGGCAGTGCCACATCGTTAAAAAAAATGATTTTGACCATTTTGACCATTTTGGATATCTGAAATGATCTATTTCAACTTCATGTATAGTCTTGAACTTACTAAATTTCTCTAATAACTATTTTTTACTTTCACTTTCAATCAATATTTCTAATTCTAATTTTATATTTGATAAAGATACAATGACTCAACTAACTAATCTAGCTTCTTATTTTACCAATGCAACATCTTTATCCTTCTATACAAATGTCTCCCTCAGAAATTTTGGTTTTCCGAATGGGTTTGGCTTGATTGCAAACTAATCCCTAATGGCTATCAATTTCATTCTACTCTTCCTTTTATTTACACAATCCATCATCTACTTTAGCTGAATTAATGGCTGTTATTGCCACTCTAACTGTAATTCCCTCTTGTTTGTGTATTAATACAGTCAAACCTTGATATAGCAAACCCTTGATATAGCAAATTTTTAAATCAAATATATTAAAATTACCTTACTATAGTGACTAGCCAATTAAATTCTTTAAAAAATTCGTTATAAGCTTATAACGAAGTTGATATCCAGATCCTAGAATTCGTTATAGCAAGAGTTTACTGTATATTCACTGACTCCTCCTCTGTCATTTCTACCTTCATAAAGCTCAATTCCTTTTATCATCCTCTTCACGCGTAACCCCATCTTCAAATTACACCACTACCTTCTCTGGCTTCATCATTTAATCTAATTCACACCAAACACATTACTCTAAATTTTAACAAAGTGAAAGCACATAGTGATGACTGGGCATTACTCAATTAGTTAATCTAATTAAAACAAAAGAGTGAGTATCGTTCTTCACGAACGATTAGACAATCTCATTACTTACTCTGAAAATAATATCGGAAGGATATTTTTTCCTAACACAGAGCAGTAGATCGGACCATAAGAGATTATAATTAAAGAATTCTATAACCATATTTTGTATTAAAACACGAAAATGTTGCATTAAATGTATAATATATATTTTATAACTCATCGGATATTTATAAAGTTTTCAAGATAAATGTAATTCGTTACGACGCACAACTTTACTTATTAAACTAAAAGCGATTTAAATAATAAAAACATATTTCCGTAAATATTTTAATTTTTAAGTGCTCGGTGACTTTTGACATTACAGATGATTACATAATACTGATGACGAGTAGATAGACATCGTTATTATATGTCAGATTATCTATAACTGAAACGATTTATATTTGTTCATATGGAAGCAAGCACAGAAAAACTTTTACGTGACTATTTACGAACTCTACAAAACAATTTAAATACTAATACTATAGAGTCCGTTATAGACTTTTTACAGGAACCTTTAGACTTTCTTGAAAATGGAACTTCATGGCATGGTCCAGCCTCGAGTCCCGAAACTCAAAAATATTTCATTACAAAGCTCTACTCTAAGCAGTTAAAATTTTTAATAGATAATATCATAATTAATTGGTTTGAAACATTATTACGAAAACAAAAAGATATGCTTGTAATGGAATATTTTGTACCAAAAGGAACCAAAAATTTACAGAAAATAAAAAGAGCAAGCATCTCACTGCAAGTTTTAGTGTCTTACTTTTCTACTTCTTATCAATCACAGAATGATTTGAAGCCATATCAAAAACGTCAAACCTATTTAGCAACAATAATTCAAAAGTTCATATTTTCACTTATGAGAAATTATTCGATTCAAGATTTTTTTGATGCGATTTTAAAGAATGAAGATTTTGATATAAGAGAAAGATATTCGGAATGGAAAGAATTTGTTGGATTAATTTGCTCAATACCAGAAAGATCCGCGAATTTGATGGCTTTTAATCAAAATTTAGAATCCAGAGAAGAATTTCGTTTCTTGAGCGAAGCGTATCCTATTGGATATATTCAAGATTTTGTATTATTATTATATTCAATTTTATTATATTTATTTGAACAAAATAAAATATTTTAAATAAAATAATGTTGAATTATCGTATTTTATTATCTTTAATGTATTTATGGCATTCAAAATAATTTTCAGAAAGCTGTTTGATAAATTTACAGTTGATGGCGAATTCCTTATTTATAGTAATAGTGAAAAAAATGATTTGAAAGGCATGTGTTTCATAAATCATTATTGAAAAATTGTTCAGAATATCTTGCTAATCTTATGGAAATTTGAATTCTTAGAGGATGAGATTCAAACATTGGTATTCGCATGCAATGAATTATTTTCCAAAATATGCAGAATTGGACATTCAAGTGCGTTAATGTTATTTGGATCAATTTTAATATTTCTTTCAAAAAAAAACAAGTGTTATTTACAAAGTACCATTTTATATCATTTAAAACCACAGAAATTCTAGCACAAACTGTATATACTAATCTATTAATTAGATTTCATCATTCTACACCTAACATATATTACAAGATTTGGAAAATCATGATTTCATCGTTCTCATCACACGTTGCTGAATCATTCCTTACAGCATTTCTTCTTCATTCTCAAAGTCAAGATCTTTCAAAGATCACAAATCCTGTATCCAATGATGATAAGTCACGATACCTAGTACGAAAAGTTGCTACACTTTTAAGTTTATTAATCGGGAAAGATAACAACGAAAATGTTACTTATTTAATCAAATTCAAATATTTCGTTGGAGGAAAAATATTTCCTATTAGCATTGTCCGAGTTTTTATTTGTTTCTTGAGTTGGGATGGATCTCAAGATCGACCCGATGATATGATGCAAAAGTTTACCGGTCAAATAGATAACCTTAAATTAGGTCCTAATGATGGTATTTGTTTCATAATTAATTCTACAAATTTTATTGAAAATAATTAAATTTACCTCTCAGCTATATTAATTATAATACAACAGACTTGACGTTATTGCTTAAAACGCTCATATCATCCTGGTCTGATCCTACATTCACTAAGCATGCATCGAGCTCCATGCAAATGTGTATGTATGATATTTATTTTAAGAAATGTCAATTTCTTGTTAGATTTATAGTGCTTAAGTCTTTACAGATATCACTAGTGCCATTCTAATAATATTTGGATATCTTCCAAAGTCTACTTTGGTAAAAGTCGCAATATTGAGGGATATCACACCTGGGATCACTCGATGGCTACAAAGTACGTCTGAAGAAGCGAGGAAGCTGGGAATGGTTGTATAATGTTTATTCTTACATTTTGGGTATTTCAATTAACGTTTGAAGAAAATATGTGTTTCTAATCAGCTGCTTTTGAAATGGTTAAATAGATTACTGCGGAAATATTCTCAAAATTAACTGACGTATCAGAAAACGTTTTGGACTTTGAACTAAATCCTGAAGACGATGACGTGAAATATTTAAGGCAATTGGCGGAACTTAAGGATGGAATTGTAGACTTGCCTGATATTTATTACGAAGATAAGCTTGAAGGTATTTATTATGTAATATATATTTTTTTATAACCATATTGAAATGTATTTTATTAATCACAAACTTTCTTGATGAAGCTTATCTGAATGAAGAGAAGATTTTAGATGAATCCTCTTATTATGAAGATAAAGTCAAGAGTGAAGGCTTGGTCGAAATCAGTTAAATAATTTTTATTATTATTTAATTCACAAGAATTGCTTCATGCGAACGATTTATAACAATTAACAAATATCATATGTTAAAAAACAGAGAATGTTAGGGATGTTGACGAAACACGTGTTGTAGATTCTGATGATGAAGACGACTTTGTGCCTTATCCAATGGAAAAAGAAAGCGATGAGGAGGAGGAAGAAGAAGATGATGAATCCAATTTACAAACGAAAAAGAAAAGGACTCTCACGCCAGTGTATTTGTTTTCTTATAAACTTTGTCATATCTTTTTTTTGGAAGTTATGATATCTAATTAAAATTACACAGTTATATTATAGATTTATTATCGTATCTGAAGGCTTCAGATGATCCTGATAAGTTGGAGGTAGCAATGAATGTTGCAAAAAACCTAATTAGACAGAAAACCGGCTTTGGAACAGAATTAGGTTTGTATTTATATAAGGTTGGTTTTACGTTAGTTTATTAATGAATTTTTTTTTTAAAAAAAAAAGATGACCATGCCATGGAACTAGCCAAGGATCTTATTGGATTGCAAGATAATTATGAATTGAAAGGATTTGAAGAAAACAGACACGCAGCGATGATTGCTCTTATATGCGGTAGTCCTAAAATTGCTGTACCGTAAGTTAGTTTAACGTGAAATTTTATTTGTTCACCAGTTTACTAAGTTAAATTTTGATATACAGATTTATTATTCAACAATTTTTCGAAAAAAAATATTCTCTTGCGGAAAGATATATGATTTTATCAACATTATCAACAGGTGCAAGAGAATTGGCTGGATTACAAGATAACAAGGTTTATACTTTAATTTTTGCCATAAAAACTATACTGTACTGGAAAAGTTTAGTATTTACACGTTTATACTCTAATTAAGAGCATTGAAGATAAAAAGGAAAAGGAAACCGCTATAATGGATACTTTATCCCAGGAAATTAGTAAATTAGATCTCACTAACATAAGAACTTTAAAGGAAACAAGCAATGAAAAAGTTCGCAGATTTTCTCGTAAACCGTTGGTTGAATCTACTCGTACAACTTCTGTTAATAGGTTTAATGAATTGGCGGCAAAGACTTTCTTTTTCCCGTTAACGGCTGGATTTTGGAATTTGACACGAGATAGGTTAGAGAAGGAGGTCCCTTTATTTTTAAAATTCTATATATGTGTATATAAATTAATTTCTAAATGACACGTTTGTTTTAGGGATCTTGGCAATTTTATGAAGGATCCAACATTAATACAAAGATACGTAACGACGTTAGGAGTATTTGTACAATGCTCTGGTAAGTTATTTTAATTCGTTCAAACTGTTTCAAATTTATTAATAAAATCCACCTTTTGGAACAAATAGTAAACACGATTGCTCTTTCACAAATAACGCGCGAATATTGGGATTTGATACTTTCTTTGAGATTTTTTGATGATCTTGCGGTATTAACTTCAATTTTATTTGGAATAAATGTAATACTTAATACTAGTTCAGAGAAAGAGTTAGCAGAATCATATGGAAAAGAATTAATTGAAACAAACCAATGGGTCACAAGTAAGTTAAAGTTTATTTTGTCTTTTGTTAATTATTTAAAAATTTTGTTAAAAAAAATATTTCCTTCAAAAGCTATATTTGAAAATAAGATGAATGAACAAGCCCAGTCCATGGCTGCGTGGGTTTTAGTTAAAATCAAAGGAATCGTTACAGCATATCAGAGATTATTAATGGAAGATTTGTTACCACTTACTTAATCACAAAAAAATTTTAGTAATATTTTATAAATAAATAAAAACGCAATGTCTAATACATTTGGAGTCAATTTTATTTTCTTTAAAATTATTGGTTAAATAATAATAAAAAAAAGCAATAAGTTATCCTTTTTTGTTACAGATTTACTCTAATGTAAATAATCTAAGCAAAATAACTTATAAAAGGGGCCATTGTTATAGTAAATCCAACAATAAATACTAAAATACATATATCTTCCAAAAGGCTATTCCAAATTAAATTATATCTTAATAATACAGTAAGTACATCAGAAAAGGGAGCAGGTAGCTTACTCGCGAATTGACCCAACGTTGAGCCTTGAAATACTCGATCCTATATTAATAGATCGAATATGTTAACGTACGAAAGAAAAAAATATGACAAAAAATAATTACCTGTTGAAAGAACATTCTAGAAGATTGTAATATAAGTTCCACAGTTATGAAGTACCAAAATACTCTCTAATTAGAGAAATTAAACCACTTGAAGTTACTCGGAAAATTTGTAAACGTAAAATCCTATTATAAACTTATTTAAAATATTACCATATATGGAATACTTTCAGTAGCGATTATATCTTCGGGTCGTTCATAATTCAATCTATAAAATCTGGTCCAAGCGCCTTTTTCTCTCAAGAATTCGACACTAGCCAATAAACCACCTAATAATATAATTGTACCAAAATGTATAACCTGCCATAATTTTGATTGTAAATCCAATTGTTGTTGACTTGCACCTCCAAACGGATTAAAAAATTTCATATCAGGATTAAGGAATTGTTGAAAAGGAAACGGAATTTGCTGCAGTTGTTGTTGTTGTAAAATATCCTGTTGAATAAATTCATCTTGTGCTGTATATGATCCAGGGAATCCACCAATTTGCTGCGGGTTATATTCACCCCCTCCTAAAGTTGAAGCTAGTGAGGTCATACTACTATTTCTTGCTTGATAATTTCCTGCTGCAAAATTCCCTAAAATTTGGCGAATATATTCATCCTGATTTTCAAAATGTCCATGATTTCCATTTGGTTCGTCTTCACCCAACATACTAGCTGTTGATGGTAATGCTGTCGTCAAAGGAGTCAAGGGAGTCGAAGGTACAGAAGGAATTCCAGAAGGTAATTTAGTTGGTGTTGTCGGATGAACTGGATAATTGTCTTCCTGTGAAAAATTTTGCGGCATTGTCCCAAAACAATCTGGAGGATCGGCATAACTACTAACTCTAATACTAGGAAACGTTTTTTCAGATGTTATATTCGACGAACCTGCATCTGAAGGAGGAACTTTAGTTGGTGATGAAGCTTCTACAAACGAATCAATAGAAAAATTTTAATATAAATATAAAAAAAAAAATTTTTTTGATAATTTATTACAATATAAATTCCGAAATTAATAAATTTGCTATATATTATACATTCGAAATCTATAGTCTCTTAGACATTCTTCATGATTTTTAAGAAATTTAAAAAAGTACCATTATTTCCAGTATTCTTTCTTTTTGGTGAGAAGGGATTATCTGGTGCTTCGGTAGTGGTAGGCGAAGACTTTTGACTAGGTTGAGGCGAAGACCTTCTACTAGTTAATGGTGAAGTTAAAGTAGAAGAAACTTCTCCTACTGTATTTAAAGAAGGATTATGAGTAGCTGTTATACGATGTAATCTACTACCAGCATCACCTAAGATTTTTCTCTCTCTTCTTGCTCTACGTCTTTCTGCATCACTTGCAGATCTGGTTTTTTTAGGTGGATTTTTCTGTTCATTTTCATTATTATTTGAAACATTCGTTGTATCTAAACTTTCCTCTGTCATAATTTACAAATTTTTTTTTAAAAAAAGTGATCCGTAAAAAAAAATTTTAGATCACAAATTTTTTATTATGTAATAATGCAAACAAATAAAACTGAGAATTTTTTGGCCTAATGATTTTTAAGTTAAATCTCGACATTCAATACCTAAAAGACTTTGATCTGATTAATAATCTGTAACAAAAAAAGAATTTAATGTTATTTTAATTGATCTATCTATAAAAAAATTAATTATTAATAATTTTTTTTAAAGTTTGAATATTAACATTATTAATTATTTATATTAATTATATAATTAAAACTTAAAACTTAAAATTTAAATATTATTTATATAATATAATTATATAATTATAATATATTATTTAAACTATGAATAATATATAATTATTTTAATATAACATATAGGAGATTGTTAGGAAAATAGTATTTTATTACTTTGAGAAAATTAAAAAAAAAAAATAATAATTTATAATATTTATTATAGCTAAAAATTTTGCCATTAATATATTTTTTGCATTAGCAAATTCTCAAATCAAATAAAAATTTAAATGTTTTTTATTAACAAATTTGTAAAAATGTAGAAAAAATCAAAAACTTAGTCCTAACTTATAAATAAATTTATTAAAATTCTTGATCTTCTTATTAGGGACTAAAAAAAACCTTTTTATATTTTTATTCTTAGCTATTTATAATAAAATCTTATATTTAATTTATTTTATTTAATTTTTTATTTATTATTATTATTATTATTATTGATTCCTATATAATTTTTTTGTAATATTCATATTATAACTATTTACAGTCATACCTCGATATAACGAAGTTGCTGATCCAGCCGATCAGGACTTCATTATAAGAATCTTCATTATAGCGTTAACGAATTATTCATTATAGTAGATGATTACTGATTTCATTACACAAATATAATTTTACTATGATATA